CACACCGAGCCCCCCACCCCTCCCCTCTTTGCCAAGCTCTCTTAATCCACACACACACACACACCCACATACATAAATCCGCAAGAACTAAGTGTGTTTTGCTCGCACTCACACGCGGTGCGGACGTAAAATATGGACTCAGCGTCGCGCGAACGGCCTTCCCTTCCCTTCCTCCTCTGCCCCGATGTTACATCCACACACGTAAAATATAAATAACAGCTGTGAAATATACGTACGCGTATGAGAGCTTGCTCTCTCTCGCAAATAGCGTATGGTTAAGTTGCGCCAAATACCCACAAGCGCCACGCTTTTCCTGATCGATTTCGAGAATCGCGAGAGGAACCCGCTTTCCCGGTGCGTCTCGCGCGTTACCGTTCCTTTTATCTCTTTTGTTTCGTACGGAGGCTGAAAAATAAAGAAAAAGGTAATGGAGCGCGTTTTACAATCAAGGAAGAGGAATACAACACGGGGATCTACCTGCCACGGGAAAAACGCGGATGTGCCATCGTTTTGTTCTTAGGTGGTGATTTTTGTAAAGGGAGTCGGGTGACGGGGGCTCACGTGGGTTTTGGCTGTTGAACATTGCGAGATCGAAAAATCGATCGCGAGGATAACAACGCGAGCTTCTATATATAAGCTTACGTGTATATGTAGGAGCGCTGTTGTAAATGCCGTGTTTTGTGCTGTGATTTTTCTCGAGAGGCCAACGCTAGAAAGAGATACCTCTCTCGCCACCGCGAGTGCTTGAACTTTGCCACTATTATCCATCTTCCTTCGAGTCTTCCTTTTCCCCTTGGTTTTTTGCGCGATGTTACATTGGAACTGTTGCATGTGCAGATCGACGTTTAGCTTATGCAACTACATTTGTTTTTATTCCATCAAATCTCATGAAAATTCGAAAGGAAAATTTAAAAAAGCACTGGATTTTACAAAGTGTAAGAATAATTGACCAAAACTCTCGGTTATAAGATTTACTGCATTAAATGGTAAACAGGGACTGGGCGCTAATTTCTCTCTCGAGTGTAGCGCGTAGTTCCCACAAACTGGACCACACGTACAACAAGTGTTATCGCGGTGGCAATATCATTAAATAAAAATAGTAATTTTAACGTATAAAAAAAAAGGAAAAAAAAAACGCTGGGTGAATTCAAGATCGTGAGATAAGAATACTGTCAACAAAGTTGATAAAAGCTAGGAAGAAGAAAAAGATCCAAAGCGTCCGTAAAAGAGAAGAAATCGCGGAAATCGTATATAAGAGGGAAAGAGCGGAGCGAACGGAGAAGGGAAAAATAACAAAGTCCGAGACAAAGTCCCACCAACGTTTACCCCTTCGCACACAACACACAAAACAAAGCACTCGTCACCGTCGTCGTCTTGGTCTTTTATCTGCTCTCAACAGCAGCACTGAAAAAACTTTAAAATCACAAAATTGTTCAGGGCGCCCATAAGTACCGTCCGTATACTTTCCTCGAGACTTCCTCCACCCTCCTATCTCTCTCTCTCTCGATATTCCAGCAGCAGCCTCTGCAACGCAACTCTGTAAACTCGCTGCCGCACCAACTCCAGCCGAACTTTGCCCGATCCCTCCCGCACAGCCTATACACCCGCCCCGGTAGACTTTTTCAAACTCCCCCGTCCGCCCTGGCCGGGTGCTCCTCTAAACCGATTCAGCCGGCGGATCCTGAAGGAGCCCCCCCCCCCCAGCAGGAGTTACCACCAAGAGAGGGAGAGGGAAAGCGAAAAGTTTGCTCGCCCGACCGATGGATGGAGCGAGCGAGTCTCCCGAGAAGGGAATCCAATCAAATCGATAGCCGGGGCAAACGTGTTAACAAACCACCTCCTCCTCTATCAGCGATCGGCAGACCCCCCTAGTCATCGCTCGGACGATAGCCCCCTCACCCCCCCCCCTCCTCTGTCCAAAACTATACAAACCTACTCCTATGTGTGTGTACGGCAAGTCAAATCTGGCAGTACGCGGGTGATTTTGAGCAAATACGGGCCACAACCCCCAACCCCATCTCTCTCTCTCTCTCTCTCTGTCTACACGTGGATGATGTCCTTTTCACAGATCACCATATATCGAACCTATTATTTCGAAGGGAGGGTCGCCGGTACCTGCTTGACGAACACGCCTGTAAATGCGCACGCCCGTCCATGGGACTCCATATAGAGAGAAGCTGCTGAGCAGGAAGAAGAAGAAACGTGTACGGACCTGCGTGCCAGCACTCTCTCTCTCTCTCTCTCTTGAAGTGGACCCTCTTACACCGCGTGTCCATCTTTTCCCTTCTTCTCGATTTCTTTTTTTTTTCTCTCGGGCGATCTTTGCTTCCCCCCTGTCTTTCGAGTTGTTTTCGGAAGGACGGGGCACGCTCAGGTATTTTTTTCTATACGTGTAAGTATACATACATGGAAAGGAGAGGGAGCGCGCCGAGGCAGGTCCTTTGCTTGGGCTGCACCCGTGTGAATCGGTAATACTCCAACAGGAGAAGTGGTTTTTTGGATGAAAGGGAATACTTATCCACTTTTTTTTTTCCCCTCCCCCGGTTGTTCTCGGTCGGTGTAATTGAACACTGTGCGTTTTTCTTTTTCAAACGTCGTGCATTGTACTCGATGGGAATATAAAGTGATCCATTTATCGCGAGAGAGAGAGGAGGCAGTGGTTGCTTTGTTTTTCCAAAAAGAACAAAAAAAAAAAAAAAAAAAAAAAGAGTTGGGCTCTGTGGTGTATCGTTTATCCGATCGGATGACTTGCGTGAACTTTCTTACAAGGGAAAATGTACAAATAAACCGTGGACGAGATGATCATCGCGAATGGTCGTTTCTTGATCGAAAGTCAATGCATGGAGAGCGCATGATCCGCTTGGTGCGATACCGCGTTGGACAAAATAAACCGAAAAAACCCTTTGGTACGATTGGAGCANTTCCAAAAAAAAAAAAAAAAAAAAAAAAAAAGAAAAGGATCCAGCTCTGCAGTGTATCGTTTATCCGATCGGATGACTTGCGTGAACCCTCTTACAAGGGAAAATGTACAAATAAACCGTGGACGAGATGATCATCGCGAATGGTCGTTTCTTGATCGAAAGTCAATGCATGGAGAGCGCATGATCCGCTTGGTGCGATACCGCGTTGGACAAAATAAACCGAAAAAACCCTTTGGTACGATTGGAGCAATCGAACCACGCGATGGAATTGAAACCTAGAAACATATATATCCATTGTCCAGAGTTGATATTAATACACCAGAGTTTCGTTTCGATGGCTCCATCGGTAGTGTGTGTATAGGTACCATGGATAATCAACCACTTGGTTGTTCCACTGATGGGTCCAGGATGATGGTCAACAATGAGATGGATACACGTTTCCACGATTCATGCTCCCTTCCCAACAAACTAATCAATACGATTTATACGTGTATCAAAACACGTCGTGGTATACGTTTACCCTCGCGTTTACCGAGTCAAATAATAATAATAATATAGCAATGAGCATCGCAACAACGGGCATCCCACCACCTACTATATCGATATTCCTAAAATAACACGTTGTCGGAGCAAAACTGGGGGCGCATTAATGGTTTCATATCGGGAGTTTCGAGAGACACGATAGGTAATATGTATTGCCAGATGTTTAATGAAACAAAAAAAAAAAGTCCTGCAAAATAAGCCAAACTGTATAGGTAAGTGTTGAGGTAGTACTCGCATAGAGAGATTCCAGCATTGAGAGTGTGTACAATCTCACTTGAGCAGGACTGGCTCTCAGCTCGGCGCGGCGTGTGTATATCCCAAACAGAAACGAATTGAGATCTTTATCTGGGAGAAAGAGGTGTGTATAGGGGAGCAGGCGGGTGTGAAAAAATGCAACAAAGATGCGAGGAGCGCGATAAGGGGCTTGACTGATTATCTCATTAATAACGAGCTTGGCACAATAAGTACGATTTTTCGCAATTTACATATAATAATTCGTCGCTACCTCCCTCTCTCTTTGCGACTATTTGCGCAATACACAGGTATTATGCCTCGGTCGATTAAAGATAATCACGCTGATCGCAATTCGTTGTAAGCGTATACCAACGTAGAGTCTGCAATTATGGATGTCTCGTGGGTTAAAATCGAACAATTTAATTTGTACCCTCTAGTGCGCGCGTGGCCAATCATCCAGGTATGATATACGTTTGTTGAACAATTCAATTACGCCGTTGAAAGTAATCCATCCGATGGTTGTAGGACTATTTCGAGGACTATTTATTGTGTTATACGCTTGGATATTGTTTAAGAGAACTCCATAAAGTTTTTTTTTTTGTACTTAACGCGACGATGACTATTTAATAGCGTTATTGTTTATCAATCTAGTCACTGTATCAGTAATAACCATTAGTTATTCAAGTAGAAGGCGATAACCTAATTTCATGGATAATATAAACTGATATGTGTATGTGCGAATAATTTGATAGTCTAATCATTGTTGTGTTTTATTACTCAAAATTCAAAATGCTATTATATACTTGTATTTAGGACTATATAATCTATACTCGATTAAATTGCACAATGTCAATATTGTTTTTTCTCAGCTCGTTCGATAAAACGCTATTAAAGCTGTACGCGATGACTAATATTTTTGTAGCTATCAAAGTTGTATCTCGAAGTCACGCACACATAATGCATTCCAATCATTTCTGCAATTGTTTTTTTTTTTTTGCTACATGTAGAAATATTATACATCGGGATTTCATTACGTTTATATATTTTTAAATGATGTAGAAATGACGAACGGAAATGTAAAACAATGTGGCAAACAAACTGGATGGCAGAGGAAAAAAAAGTGAGTAATACTGATAAGATTAATGGTGTCGATCACGAGGTCGATCACAAGACCCAGTCAACCCTCGATAAGCAAAGAAACATTTAGCGTTAATAAGATAAAAAAAAAAAAGAAATCACGAGTACACATTAATTTTCATATTGATGTAATACATATGGAAAAACATATGATTTTGGACTCACCGAAATGTGAAGGGCGTCGTGTCCGGCGAGGACGTCGCGGGCAGAGCGGCGTCGCTCGCTCTCCCCTTGCACCGCTTCTCTCCACCGCTGCTGTTCTCGTTATCCTTCGATCACCAAAACAATCAAAACCAACAACAACAAGAACACGTCACTAATTTTTCTCTTCTCTCCCCTTTTATCTATATGCTGCGGCAAACATCCACCGTTCCCTTTTATCCACCACACTCACAATTATATATGTATATTATACGTGTAATATTATATGTGCGTTTAACAACAACAACAACAACAACAACTTTATTCCCAAAACGAACGATACGTACGAAAACCGGTCACTGTGTATATTATAATTATGCGCGTACTAAACAACATCAACATCGACAACAACAAGAAAAACACCACGTCGTCGCTGCGAATCGTCCCGTGCGGCCACTAAACGACCTTAATGGCTGACTCTGCGAACGTGTAGGGGGACACCCGTCGCCGGTTCGACGAAGGGCGCAGGTGGCAGTGGAAAAGCCCCGTGGTAGGGGGATGACGCTGACGACGACGATGATGATGACCCCTTTGCACACACTGTACCGACGATCCTCCAGACGGACACTTGTCACTCGGTTGGGCTGTACAGGTATACTCCCAGAGCGCGAGCCAATTTCTACGAGGATGGCAGCTCCTGATGCAGCTGTTATGCCCTCGTCTCCTCCTCCGCAGTGCAGCTTGTGCCTGGGATGGGGTTGGGCCGCGGCTATACCGATTCCGCTTGCCTTCAACAATCAGAACATGCAAATCAGGGTGATTGAACGCCGGAGGTAGCCGACATGTGTCCTATGTATAGCCTATCTCGGGCACACACACATTCGGGGGTACGTATACACAGGCGGATGGATATAGGGGCTGGTGTGTACCTACCCCCCAAGGGGGTAGAGGTTGAGGAAGCGAGAGGACGCGCGCGGTCTTGAATCTCGATTACCTCGGGAACGGGGCACGAGAGACAAGTAGGGACACACGCGACGTATATCTCGTGCCTGTCGGGGCGGACCTCCTCCTCCGCTACTGCTCTGGACTAGAAAAATTCGCTCCGCGAGCTGAATGGCTTATCGAATGTCGAGGGTGTGGTGAACTTTCTTTTCTTTTCTTTTTCTTTTTTTTTTTTTTTTTTGCTGTGACAAATGAAAAGGACTACGAGAGGGATAGAACGAAAAGGCCCCGGACGGACATGGCCGAATGAAAAATTTACGCACGGATGGACGAGGGCAATGATAGCAAGTAACCGCGGCGTGGGTGCAAAGCCGGCGTTAATGACGAACAAGCCTCTCGCGGGTGAGGGTGTGATTACCTCCTCTCTCTCTCTCTCTCTCTCTCTCTGCACCTATCGGTAAAACTTAATGACGCAATAAAATTTAATACACGCGTGTATGTATGTATGGGTTGTACAAGCGATATAAAGCTAGACAGAGGATGTTGGAATATACCGTATGTGTACAGCGATGGGATGAGCTTTTCGAGAGGGTAACGTATAGACATAACACCAACATCTTCTCTTCTTCTTTTTCCTCCTTTAAAACTTTCGCTTCTGGAAGAGGGCTATCACAGCTTTTTTTTTTTTTTTTTTTACTTTTGATTTAATTGTGTACGGAATAGGTGATCGACATTATATGCGCACGAGAATTAAATCTCAAATTGGCTCGAAAATGAACTTTGATGCAATATCGCATACCTGTAAACTTGCGTGTCACATCGCGTCTCGTTTGCTGATTGAATTTTATAAAATCACATTGAAATACAACAACGAGCTCGCGTGGACGGACGAGACTAGAAAATTATAGGGCAGTCCAGAGAGAGAGAGGGAGAGCCGGGAGACGGTAATCCGCGTAAGAGCCTCGGGAATGTATCAGAAATCCATCAGGAAAATTGTGCCGAGCGAAGGAGGAGAAGAAGAGCGCCAAATGTAATTAAATTTTTCACTCGGTGTTGAAAAGACCTCCTTTTTCCCCTCCTCTTCGCTGGTATACGATTCTCTCTCATCCAACAATTAAACCAACGCGACCATGTGTGTATAATTATTTTCGTGTACAGCTGTTAGTGATGTATTAAATTTAGACATCCTCGCCCAGCCAGCTAACTTTTTCTCCATAACGTGCAGCATCATGTTATACGTCCAAGTATTTCGACTCCCGAAGGTTTCGTAGATTGAAAGAGTTTGGCGTGAAAATTACTCTACCATCATTTCTAGCCCACCTTTTTCCCTGCACGCAAAGTGTATAAATCGACAACAACAATGCGGTAAACAGGTGAGCCAAAAGAATTTTTTCAACCAATAAATTTGCTGCTTGTGAACGAAGAGGGAGACGACGGAATACCTCTTTCTGTATTTCGGGTAAGTACTGTGGCACGTGTACACACAGCCACCGCCGCATTCTTTCTCTCGGGGCACTCGAAACTTCCGAGCACAACGGGTATATATATATATATATGTGTGTATGTATGTATGATGATGATCGTTTTCGCACGTGTTACAACCTGTATAGCTCGAACTTGCTCTCGAGATGCTTGTAACATTTTTACAAGGTGTCCGCGCCTCTACCCAAGGAAGGGGGCTCGCCTCGAAATTGTGCGGGCTAATCTGCGGCGCCTATAAAAACACCTCATCAGAGGGGCACGAGGGTCTGGTGGAAGATAAATTAGACGGACTACGGTATTAAGTATCCAAGGAGTTTCTCGAGACTTTTCTCTCGAAAAATAAGTTTGTTCCTGAAAAAGGAGAAAGAAAATACCAACGACGCCCGAGTTGACGCTAAACCACCGTATGATTCGCAAAGCGGGCAATCACGCGACAATTGTTACAGCGACCTTGAATAAATAAATAAAAAAATAAAAAAATTATAAATAGAAAAAGGTAAAGACTCGCCTGACCGAGCGACGGTAAACCACTAACTGCCTAAATCGTACCTGTGTAGGTACTTGTAAAATCTCGAGGATTCATGTATGTAAATCGAATACCAAGAATATTACCATACTTGACTTAATAAATAAAATTTACGCGAGTATAGGTATAAGCTCGGAATACCTTGACGAAATGAAAGATCGTACGTATATAATAATGTACATGTTTTCGGATAAAATTTTCATCTCCCACGCGTGCCCGAAGAATTAACGCCTCGGGCAGTTTCATCTTTCCTTCTCCTCGAACGTGACTATCGCGTATACACGTAGGCAATGAATTCGAATCGACGAAAGCGTTTGGAGAAACTCGCTATACTTTAAATTTCGTTAAATCGAACGTCTGGGACTATCTCCTTCTCCTCCTCCTCCTACCTAACCCGATGCTTACATGAAAAAGGGCTGTACACACAAATTCACGAAGGATATCTCTTTTGCGCTCGGAGAGCCCCCTCTCAAGAGTAGTCCACCCCGTTTTCCAGGGATCGATTTCCCGCACCCCTGTTGCCCCTCTCTCGCGCACTCCCGCTCGAAAATTACCGGAGAGTCGGTATGGCGCCCCCCATGCCCCTCCCCCCCCCACAGACGCTCTTATATATGCACGCTATGCACGTGCATGGATGTAAGTTTTACGTGTGTCTATATGTATAGGATATACCTTGCCTGCACGTTATATACTATACGCGACTTCCTTCCTCCTTTTCCCCTCGCGCGTGCATAACTCGCCCACGCGCCCAAGTCTTTTTCTCTCCTCCACCCCCCCCCCTCCTTCAAACCTCGTTCTTGCCTTTCTTAGGTCTTACAACGTCGCCTTCGACACTCGCTTTTATGTACATACGTATATTATACGCGTGTGTACAAGGACCCCCTCCGCACTCCCTTTTTGAATTCCAAACTCCCGCGCGAACGCACACACACGGACTGCTGCAGGGAAGGAAAACTCGTTCCCTTCTGCTGCAGCCGTTGCGTATACGTGTCTCGAATTTCCTCTTCGTCGAGTTTTAAATTAATTTCCGTGAGATAAGTAAATTGTGCGTATGTGTGTGGTAAGCATATCCTGTTTTTTACTTTGCGACTCTCCTCCCCACCCCACCCTCCAACTCTTTTCTTACATTATCTCTTCTCATGCGTGAAACTACCTATTAGGAATCAAAGTTGAAGCAGTTTTTTTAAATATATTTTCTCTTGACGAAATGGAAAAACTGTAATGCGCTTCCCAAAGCAAACATTATCAAAGTATAATTGTCGAAAAGAAATGTAGTATATTGAAAGTCTCCCAGAGTGGGTTGTGATGGAAAAATTGAAAACGTTTTATAGTTTGTCATGTACTCTTTTGTTCGTCGTGATAAGCTTAATCTCGTGGCACGCAGTTTTCCGGGAAAATTTTCAGTACACGACTCAAGTTTACTATTGTAAGGCGCCTAGGGCCACTCAGGGCCGCCCAAAGCGGGATTACTGAGCACATTTACATACACGTACCTATTGTTCACTGTCGAGATGTAAAAATAGTATTAAAACTCATGGAACAGCACGGTAAGCTACGTTTTAAGTGCAAATTTCGCAAGAATGTTTCATTTTTGTAATATTTTAGGACGAAAAAAAAAATAATACTAATGTAAAATAAAATTACAGAATTTGTCTGGTATTATAACGAAATTGTTTATTCTGCCAACGAAATATTACTGTGCTGTAATAAAACAAGATGACTTTTTTATGCACCGCCGAGTTTACAGTTCTAAAACTCTTCGTGGCGTTTATAAAAATAAATAACGTATATTTCATTCCAAAAATGAGGCTCTATAAATTTTATTTCCCGACGTCCCTTTTTTTTTTCACCCACCCGAGAAAGATTTTAAATCACCGGTAGACCGTGTTTATACCGTACACGTCACGCGAGTGGAAAACAATTCAGGTAAAGAGGCAAAATGTACGGTCACCACGATAAAAACAAAACACCCCAAAAAATGACAAGTACTCACACTTGTCTCATCGCTTTCTCATAAGAAGAAAATTAATTGTTTCCATGCTATTTTTAAACTCGTTTAAACTCGCCACGATTCCCTTTTACAAACGCGTAAGGAAGAAATGAAAAAGAAAGACGCAAGTGGAGTGAAAAAGCACCAAAGACAAGCCTGAAATTTTCTCGGGAGCGTTAGGAAAAAGAAAAAAAAAAAAAAAAAAAAAAAAAAAAAAAAAAAAAAAAAANAAAAAAAAAAAAAAAAAAAAAAAAAAAAAAAAAAAAAAAAAAAAAAGGGAGAAAACCAAACGGAGCAGGGAGTTCTGGGTTAGGAACGATGGGGCGAAGAAAAAAAGGTACAGTCACTCGGAAAAAAGGCGCAGTCGGCTTCTTAAAACTGGAGAAAGCTCAAATAATTGTCAACGCTCGAACAAACACACGGACGTATGCACGTACCTGCAAACGGATACCTGTAGGAGTGTATTGACCAACGATAGATAGGAGTTTGTATTGGGGGGCACCCTAAGCCGTACACCATATAACTAAATGGTACAGCTGGTAATTGTACTGTCGGTACTTGGGATATAGTATTCCGTTGGATATCCCTGATGTGTACGTGCTTTCCCTTAAATTATTAGGACACAGATATATTTATATTTTCCGGTTTCCGCAACACGTTTATTGCAGTAAACCTCGATAAATGTTCTGTTGGGCATAAACTTTCAAAGAAAATGTTCCGCAAGAACTCGTGTACTAAGT